GTATCAACTTTGCCTTAGAATGACTGGCAATCAACCCTAAAGGGTCATGACACTGAAGAAAGAAAGCTTCACAATCGTTCTTCGTGTAACTCTGCGTTGTCTGCGCCGATATCGTCGCGCTTGTCGTATAGAATTCGTCCATTTATCAGATCCCACTTTATTCCTAGAGCCTTCTATCCTAAAACCGAGTCTAGTCCTGACCCCTTTCCACGATTTCTCTTCCGGATCGCTTGCATAAGCTCTTTGCGTGTTCGACACGAACTCGGTCAAATTAACCCTCCTGGCTTAGCACCATTGGTGTTTCGTTTTGAGGACAAACTCTTGCTTCATTTCAGTGTGCGGTAACATGCTGAGACCATCACGACCGTAAGGAAGGATTTAACCTGTAATCCCGTAAACTAAAGGCGCCGCAAATGTTGCTGAGCCGAACGGTGCGGCTCAGTGCGTACGTGGATGGCTGCTGACACTGCCATATGCCTTCCAAAAGATGTGACGTCAATGTCTGTATGGTCACTCGTCTGTTCGTTGTACTCATAGAAACCTGAGTGCAAATCTCTATCGTTCCGCTGGAATTTAATCTGGTGGTACATTGATCCTATATCTAGCGCGTAACTGCATACTTGTGGTGTCGTGAACCGTAAGATCACCATGGAGAAATTGTTCAACCAGACTCGGGACTTTTGTAATACACCTATCATAAGAGACGTCTCCATGTATTTCGACGCACGAAATCGAAAACGATCGACTGACTTTGGTCAGGCTTCTTATGCGGTGACCACTAGCGTGAGGAGGAGATACCCACGATTTCCGGATTTTTCTAATTTGCTTGCTGGTACTTGTCCTCAGCATATCCACTTAACCCACATACTTTGTAAGTCTCGTGCGTTATACCTATCAACGTGTTTCCCCTTTGTAAGGCTTATCCGCATAAGAGAATCTAGGCGAGATTTTGCAAACTCCAAAATTATTTGGATATCCTTACTAGGATCTCCCGACGGGTGGGAGCTGTAATAGTTATCAATCAATCTTGACATTCTTTATCCACAGCTCGCATGCAATCTGTTGTCTTGTGGAGACCATGGTACATCATTCTGCTAATGGCCTTCATGTCCACGACATAACCTGTCAA